ACTTGTTCCATTTGATTTGGATTCAATGTACGTCAACTTCTCCAACAGATGCGCAAATAGCCATGCGCCGGCATGTCCATACGTAACAACTGGTTGCGGACCGAATACGTCAAATTAATTTCATCCGTCGAAAAGTTCGGTTCGGACTTCTCGAACTGTCAGTCAAAAGATTTGTTTGGATTTTTCAGAGAGACGTGAATTTATTCATTGTTGCATTCAATGGGAACCAATAGTTCCTCGACCAAGTTTTCGCCGTCATTGTCTGTTATCTTTTATCGATGTTTTGGCAACATTCTTTGTACTGTAGAGGTTTTAGGTATATTACTTAAATTTCACTTTATTATAAAAATTGTCCGCGGTTAAAGAAGGAAATACTTCACTTTTCACTGACTTTAACTTTTGTCCGAGCTTTTCAATTGATCGGATATTTAATGTTTTTTGCATTCAGTAACAGTAATAAATCCACGTTTTAGTCACATTTAGTCGATACATTTACCTGTTAACACGTAGCTAAACTTTCGTCCATATGTTGCATAAGAACGTAGAATTATAGTCTCTTCGTCCGTCTTCGGGGAGGCCCAATGCACTTTTATTTTCATCAGCAGGATCTTGAGCTGTAATTTCAAGTTAATCTAATTGTGAGTGAATTGTTCCTTACTTTATTTCCCGATCTTACGGGTTTGCGGACATATTTTAACGGTTGACGTGTAATCATATCGATTAATCAATTAATCGAATCGATTAATGGCCAGCGTTATTATAATTTACACACCTTAGGTAAGGTACATGCAATGTAGATCACTTTCCCTATAACGTACGTATAGTTAATTGCCAATGGTAAAAAATCGATCACCTCGAAAATATCCGACCGAACCTCGAGCATACCCAACACCTAAATTCACCACAGATTACATTCGCGTGTTTCTCTAGCATTTCGCACAGTTGATTAAACGGCTTGAATGGTACATAGATATTGATTTCTTATTCTATTATACAAGGTATGTATGGATTTATATGGGAAATAACTGGGATATATATATATATATATATATATATATATATAT